AATATCATCAAAGAAAATATATATTGAGAATAAAATAGTAAAATTTCCCAATCTTTAAAAAGTTGTCTACAAGAGTCTCTACATCTAGTCTTAGTCATAATACGGATTATTCGTTTTTGCATCTTAAAAACGCTAAGACTATGTGGTGAATTACCCCATAATAAAATACCATAAGATAATAATGAATGAACATATGCAAAATAGATCGTTCTTAGAGTATTCTCTGTCATAAGGGGCGTGACACTGTCATCACTATTACCGCCAACATGGAAGATGAACTCCCGTCCTGCGTCCAAAGGGCCTTCCCATGCCATTAATTGTTGCTCAGTGTTCCTTACATATTGGCACCTACGTTGCCATTCTTCTGCAGTTATGGAAGCCAGTTTTTGGTCTGCCAGTATAATGACGTCATCCATCTTAAATGTGGTACTGTTTTCAGCAACCCAATTGTTTACGGTGACCCATATTAACTCAATTGGGTTGAGTTCTGGGTGATACTGAGGGAGTCATAAAATATTGTGATTGTGTTCTGCAAAGATTACATATATTTTATAGGAAAGGTATTTCGATTTGAATGGTAGGATCATATTATATGTCTGAATTCCGCAATGATGAAAAATCAGTGTTATTGAAGGTAATAGATGGAAGGTGATATTTTAGCCAGGATATCATAAAATCTCTTCTTGAATTTGAGTTAGGGGCTCTGTTAAGTTGTACATTGTGGTAGGGAGCATTATCAATGACAAGGACAGAGTTTGGGGGAAGTTTAGGAATAAGTTGCTCCTTTAACCGTTTTTCATAATTGGTGTAGTTCGTGTCCTTGTGGTAATCTCCTGTTTTTTGGTGGAATTTGAAGTATACGTAGGCATTAGGGATGAAACCTTGCTCTTCCCCTGCATGGATAACAATGAGCCGTTGGCCTTTGGACATGGGGGAAAATAATCCTTGGATGGATTCATCACTCCATGCATATGAGGTGGTGTGCGATGAATGAATATAGGTTTCATCCATGCATATGATTAGGCGGCCCTCTTCCCTATATTCTTTAATTTGCCGCAAATACTGAAGACGTTTGGCTCTGATATTATATAGTTCCACCAGTATCTGCCGATTATTTTTTGTTTTCTTCCAGTGGAACCCCAATTTCAAAATAATTTTCTTTAATGTGGAGATGATTGTGAGTGCAACACTCAATACTTCGTGTAGGTGGCATGTTAAAGGAGATAGAAAAATGTACAAATATAAATAAACAAAAAAAATCAGCAAATAAAAATAAACAATAAAATAAAATATTAATGCAGTAAATAGAGAATAATACACTCAAGTATGACTCCAAGAGTCTAAACTTTTTAACTAATTTTGACTGTACAAGGAAGAATGCTTTTAACTGAACTTGAGACGTCTGCTCGCACTGAATACAGACGAATGAGTAATCACAACACCCCTCAACTTTCACGAATGGACCTGCCCACCCACTGTGCAGCATTTTCTGGACTGTCACTTCTAAATACTACAACTTTACCGGTATTCTACAAGGTATCGCATTTTCGAGACAACAGAAGGTTCATTGCATAGCAACGGCCATGGATATATAAGGGGGTTAATGCATTCGGCGAGCCAGTCTTGGGATAGTCGCTGTCGAAGTTATTTGCCACACTGCATAGGCAACACGTGAAAGTTTACTTATAATTAGTCAACATTAATTGCATCATTTTTATTGATCCAGTTTTTTAAATGCTTTCAGGAATCACGAAATCTTAAAATCTTATCCTATCAGGTATGCAGATTACAAGGCATACTAGATCTTATGTATTATTTATTCTTTCTGCTTGCAGCTCTGCCTCGGTTTGTATTGTCCCTAAGACGAGAGACAGTGAGACGAGGAGAAATGGCCTCATTCTTGTGTGAAGCAGAAGGAGACATGCCTATGCAGATCACGTGGCGTCACAACGGTATCCAGATCTCTCATGAAATGAATAAGAGGTAATTGCAGGATTTGAAGTTCTCGGGGTCGTGAATACGAAGAGTATGGTTTTCTGGGGTATGATGCTATGGATTGGTTCTTATAAATTTGAAATTGTTCACAGCTATACTTCTCTGGACTCAGAAATCAATTGTAAAAATGATGTTAGTATTGAGTTCCGAAATCGACCATATTTTGATAGATAGGAGATGGCATTCAAGTAACAGTGAGCAAACAAACAACACACAGAGTTCATATGGAGAGGTACAATCTCAAGAAATTAAATGAGGTAGAAGGTAAAGAGCAATTTGAAATCTCAAATAGGTTCACAGCTTTGGAAAACTTGGAAACTGAGGTGGATGTTAATAATAATTATTTTAAGTTGGTCCTCTCACATTCACCATTTAGTTCAAAAATTAAACAAAACCATCTATCTTATCAAATCCTTACGAGATTTGGTCAGTCTTCCAATTTTGAGAAGTGTGTATTTTGCGAAATTTGAATCTTTATTGAGATATGGTATTATTTTTTGGGGCTGTGGTCAAAAGGACATTCAAACTGTATTTAAAATCCAAAAAAAATGTTTAAGACTGATCAAAAGAGTCAATAACAGGATATCGTGTAGAGAATTTTTTGGTGAATTTAAAATTTTAACCTTAACTTCATTGTATATCTTTGAGATGTTATGTTTTTTAAGGAAAAATAGGATATATAACATCTCGTATTCAGACGTGCACGGCTATAACACAGTACATAAGCAGAATTTGTATGTCCAACCATGTAACACCTCACGTTGTAAAAGGAGTGTGATTAACATGGGAATAAGATTGTATAATAACTTGCCCTCTCAAATAAGAAGTATTCAAGAGTTCAAGGTTTTTAAGCGTCAATTAAAGGATTACTTGTTGTGCAAAGCTTTTTATTCCCTTCAAGAATATTTTTACAAGAATTAGCTTAATAATAGAACAAAGATACTTAGGTAATTTATTTTAGCTATTGCATGTAATTTATAGTTTAGCTTTTGTTGGCTTATTATACTCATCCAGTGTTTTATCATATTTAAAGGACTTATTATGTTATTTTTCTATGGTTTTTTTATATTATTAGTCATTTGATGTGATGTTTAATCTGATATATTTTTTTTAAAAGCTGACTTTTCCAATTGTACATAATGTAACAGTTATGGATGTTAAATAAATAAATAAAAAAAAAGAAGCTTGGGAAACTATTAGAGAGAATATCAAAATTTCTGCCAAGGAGAGTCTAGGCTATTATGAAATGAAGAAGCATAAGCCATGGTTTGATGAAGAATGTTCAAAATTATTAGACCAAATAAAACAGGCCAAATTGCATTAGTTACAGGATCCAAGCAGAATAAATGGTGATAATGTGAACAATATAAGACGTGAAACCAGCAGGCATATCAGGAATAAAAAGAGGAAATACTTGAAAGAAAAAACTTGATGAGCTTCCAATGAACAGTAAGATAAAGAACATTAGAGACCTGTATAGAGGAATGAATGACCTTAAGAGTTGTTACCAACCTAGAAGTAACTTAGTGAAGGATGAGAATGGTGATCTGCTTGCAGATTCCAACAATATTTTGAATAGGTGGAAGAACTACTTCTCTCAGTTATTGAATGTACATAGGGTCAGTAATGTTAGGCAGATAGAAATACACACAGTTGAGCCATTATTACCTGATCCTAGTCCCTTCTGAGTTTGAAAGTGCTATTGCAATATCGAAAAGGTATAAATCGCCAGGTAGTGATCAGATATTGGAAGAACTTGTTCAAGCAGGAGGAGAAATATTATATTCTAAGATCCATATGCTAATTACTTCTATATGGTATAAGGAAAAATTGCTTGATCAGTAGAAGGAGTCTATTATTGTACCAGTTCACAAGAAGGGCGATAAAACTGACGGAAGTAATTATTGGGGGATATCTGCTGTCAATTTCGTTCAAAATCGTATTCAATATTCTTCCCTTAAGATTAAGTTCATACATAGATGAAATTATTGGGGATCATCAGTGTGAGTTTCGACATGACAGATCAACTACAGATCAGACCTTTTGCATTCGTTAGATATTGCTGTTGTTCACTTAGGTGTTATTTTAATTCCTCTGTTATGGTTTTACTCAAGTCTGTCTGGTAATTACTACATTTAAAAATAAATATTTAGGATTGTGCATGCGCTTCTACTAGTGGCATCTGTGCCGCGAGTGGCCTGTCGGACAGCGGAAAACGCACCTCGCTTCACTGTTGCATAATCGCCATGTTTACGGAGGCATTGCTGAGCAAGACTGCGTAGCAACCAGTGTGCTTTGGCTTGGCTAGGCACGGTACTGAAAAACACCGCTTTCCTTAATGTTGCATAACCTCGTTCCACTGTTACGCAACTTGGAAACCGACCGTTTATCAAGAGTCTGTCTTCATGGTAACTCGTTCAACATCCTGTTGCCCAACAACCGTTTCACATGTCACAATATGTTATATTCTGGATGTGCCTATACCAACATAATCATTTCTGTTCCATAGTATACGTAGTATCTGGCTTACTACTGCCATAATTTCTCTTATTTTTATGTTCATAACTTTGTCCCTCTTAGATATAACAGCCAATCTCCACAGAAGATCCCTTTCAGTAGAAAGCGGTTTATTCATTTCTATCATTGTTGTGGCATAGGACAGTATCTGTTGTCAATCAGCTTTGCATATACAAGTCATCTCAGTGGTCTTCCAAATAATATATTTGAAAGACACCAACCACATATTAAAAGAATTATTTCAGAGACTTGTTTTATGCCCCTGTTACAGTTATTGAGGCATCTTTTATGATAACACCATAAATAATGAATCCACTCCACCAAATAATTACTGGGAGAATATTGAAAGAAACGCTAAAAAAGGCATTGTCCAACAAACAGCCATATGTTGTGCAGTTATTATGAGTAGAGTGGGATATTTCCCAGTTCAGTGGAAAGTTGCATCGATTTTAATGATTCCAAAACCTGGTAAACTGCTAGATGAAGCCAGCTCATATAGACTGATCAGTGTACTGCCAGTAATGAGTAAAATCTTCAAAAAGGCTGTGTTAAGAGAGTATGCCTGATAATAGTTGAAAACTGAATCCTCCCACACCCTCAGTTTGGATTTTGATGGAAACACCCTACCATAGAACAAGTACACCGAATTACAGACATAATAAGAGGAACTGTAAAATAGATTCTAGACATACACAAGTGTTTGATAAAATATGCCAGCTAGGCCTCTTGTTCAAAATCAGAAATATTCTTCTTCTTACATAACATTAGAGATATTTCTGATTAATAGACTCTTTCAAGTAAAATTCAAAGCCGAAATCATGATCTTAAGAACAAATTAAGCAAGTGTAGAGCAAGGAAATGTCTTAGGACCCATCCCATATCTTTTCTACACAAGTGACTTCCAGGCATCAGACAACACAACAACTGCTACCTTCTCTGATGATACAGCAATCTTAGACATGTATGAAGATCCAGCGATAGCCTCAATGAAACTCCAAGTCACTATCAGCAAGATTGATGTTTGGGCAAAAAAATGGAACAATTATATTAAATCAAAGCGAATCCATGCATATTGCATTCACTCTATGCTAGCAAACCTGTTCGACAGTGCAAATTAACGATGTTGATCCACCCCAGAAAAATGAAGTGAAATACCTGTACAATAAATGTGTGTAAAAAATCCACTAGATTTGTAAGGTCATATCATAATCTTATCCAATTTTACATTAGGCCAATTAAATTCTCACAATGTCATGGTAGAGCTGTTCCTTGTCATTTCATTAGATTTCATCTGAAGGAGAGTTTCTTGGAATCTTCAGCCATATCACAGCTGATGATTCATCACACAACACCTGACGACTCTGGGAAGTATGTCTGCATTGCTACAAATCCATTTGGAAAGGACGAGACAGTTGTTCAGCTCCTAGTTCAAGGTAGGAATCAGTTACTGCAAGAGAACAGATGTTGGGCACAAGAATGTAGTTGTCACAGACAGGCACAGGGTTTATGTGCTTTCTGTCAAAAATGATTAAGGTTGTCTAATTAAAGGAGATGAGATGGGTCAGGCATGTAAGTCATAAGGGAGAGATGATAAGTTCATAAAAAGAATAAAGTTTTCTTTGTTTTAACACCATGTAGTGTACTGACAGCCTCAGTGTTTTGGAGGGAAGTATAACTTCCACCTTAAGGGTCATAGAGTAATCCAAGCAAGAAATCAGTAGATGTAAGTGACAACCACAGGGCACTGTAACCCAGAAGGCAATATTCTTCAGAGTTCTCCTGCAAGAAATTGAAATTCAACAAATTAAGGCAGGACCTAGTATTGGGAACTTTGTGAACAGTGACTAGGTGGGTGATTTCAGTTTGCCAAGAAGGATTGCTCTTCACAGAGTTACGTAGTCTCTAAGTGAGTGAAGGAAGTACTTCTACATTGACAATAATTTTTTTAACAGAGCATGTATTTTTAGATGTACCTGAACCACCAATGGATATCCGTGTGTTGGAATGTGGAAGTCGTGATGTGAAACTGGCCTGGAATGAGCCACTCAATGGAAACAGCCCTATCCTACATTACACAGTAACATCAACACAAAATCCAAGTGAGTTCTTTCAGTATTTTAGAAGCTCAAATATTTTACTTTACTGTATCTATGTCATTTGATGAAGCACATAAATAGTGCCTCTTTCCTTATGATACTTGCAAAATAACATATGTAGGTCATTTCAGAAATAATGCACACAATTTTTTGTTTACGTCCATGTTTATTTTTTTTATATCTCTTTACAGTCCTTCCATATAGCCCCCTGCTTCACAATGACCAAGTCCCAATGTATGGGAAGCTTCACTATTCCATCCAGGACACCATCTTTGTTTATTTGTTGAAGGCTCGGGTACTGCAGCAGAAAGCTCTTCCAGAGAGGGAAAATGACGGCCTCGCATAGGTTGTTTCAACTTTGGGAATAAGTCAAAGTCTGGTGGACTCATGTCCAGACTGTAGGGAGCACGAGGCAACATCTCCCAACCGTATTGGCACAGCTTTTCTGTTACAACATTCCCTATGTGCGGGCGAGTGTTGTCATGGAGAATGAGCGGACCAGCCTCGAGCAACTGAGATCGGTTTTGTGCATTTTTCTGCTCAGATTTTGCATAAAGTCACGGTAATAAACTGCTGTGACACTTTTCCCACACGGAATTCTGTCTGTCATGATGATTCCTTGATGATCATAAGCAAAGATCATCATTTGTTTGACCTTTGATTGAGATTGTCGAAATTTTTTTGTTCGTCGGGAAGATGGACCTCTCCACTTGTTGGACTGTGATTTCAGCTGTGGATTTCTGTCGGGTTTTTTTCACTTAAAGTTTTGATCTTAATGTACGACCTTTGATCTTCAACAGTCACAATACCCGAGAACCGTGCAGGCTCCATTTCCAACTCACGCTATTTAAGAACAGAGTACATTATAAATGAAACAAAATAACACGTTTCTTTCTTAAGCTCTGAACTGTAACTGACATGAGGCTCACTGTTGTTGCGTCATCTAATCTGCAGTGTTGCCAACCTGTGCATTATTTATGAAATGACCCACGTACATTTGACTACCATTATGTTTTTTTTTTTCGTTTAGTGGGGGGTGGAGTCCAACTGGGTCAACTCGGTGATTATGATGATGGAAAATTTGGTGGAATGAAGATTGGCATGTGAAACCGAAGTACTTGGAGAAAACCTGCCCCAGCGCCAATTTGTCCACCACACATCCCATTTGACCAGACCCAGGCCGTCGTGATGGGAAGCCAGCGACTAGCCGCTTGAGCTATGGCGCGGCCTATGGGATTTGTGGTGGACAAAGTGGCGTTGTGGCAAGGTTTCTCCGAGTACTTCGGTTTCCCCTGCCAATCTTCATTCCACCAAATGCTCCACAATCAGGCCAAAAGTGGCACAGTACAAAGGACTTAGTCCCACCCCACTAGCAATAAAAAAACCGCTTGAGCTATGTTAGTAGAACTCAACCTGTGATGTGCTAGAAACATTACCTACTACTTACAATTAACGATTATAACTACATATTATTTGTTAAAATTTCAGAGTTCAAATTTATCAATATTCTAGTGTGATTATCTAAGGCCTTCCTGAAAACCAGTGAGCTGCTCAGACAGAGGAGACCTGCTCTCCTTGCATCAACTTGGACTGCAGAGATTCAGACTGCTAGTGTAATGACCAAACTGAAAGCCTATAATGTTACATTTTTTTTTTAATTCACTTAATGGGTGGTGTAGTCCAGCTGGGTTCACTTGGCACGGCGGCCACTGATTGGCCTATTGTAGCCTGCCCCAGGTGATTATGATGATGGAGATATTGGTGTAATGAAGATTGGCAGGGGAAACCGAAGTACTCGGAGAAAACCTGCTCCAGCACCACTTTGTCCACCACAAAACCCACTTGACTGGACCCGGAATCGAGCCTGGGCCGCCACAGTGGGAAGCCAGCGACTAACCGCTTGAGATATGGTGCGGCCTACAATTTATCTTCCTTATCGCCCCAACAAATCATTGAGCAACTCAAGTGAAGCAAGCGTGTGCATTATGTGCCAGCTGACTATAATTCTGAGCCCCTGCTACTGTCACTAGACATCCACTGAGTCATATTATTTCTTGTGTTCAAATTCCACATGTGAGGTACACATTGGAAAGAATGCGTGTATGATACGTATGTGACAAGTGGCTGTATAAGAAAAGTCTGGAGAATATTTCAGCAAAAATTTCAGAATGTTAGGTTTCCAAACAGAAATACTATTTGTACAATCGCAGCAAAATGCAGATACACGTGATTCTTATTTGAAAGAAAAAGGGCCAGATGAAAATCTATATAAATAAAAATGTAAATGTTGGTTTGTTAGCCCTCGAAGATCTCCGAAAGTTCTTCACCGATTGCTTTGAAATTTTGACACAACGTTGCATTCGAGCACGCGCATGTTTTTATATACCCATTATATAGATGTCACACCTGTGACAGGTAAAAACATGCATCTTTTGAAAACCGGAATTGGAATTTGGAATTCAGAAGAGTGACCCCTATGGAAACGCTAGAACAGACCATTGCATAGGAAGTAACAATAGCGATACTGTATCGAATCTCCATGGTTATGACGAATACATGGAGCATTCCCATAGAGACAGCGCAATAACAATGGGTCGTTGCGTAGGAATCGCGGAATCAACAAAGCAGCGTTTCTGCAGTTATGACAAGGGCTCATTTGCATAGCAGCGGCCGAGGGTATTAAAGGGGGTTGAATTCATGCCCAGTCAGTCTTGGAATAGCTGCCGCTGAAGAAGGTTGGAACCTAGACGCCAAGAGATACAGAAGTATTGGCCAAGAGATTGTGTAACCAGTAACTCTAATACTGCAAGTGGCGATAATTGTAAAGTGTGCAAGTGAATTACAATAAAGATTCGCTATAATTAATACGGTGTAAAGTTATTTGTAGCGTGACATACCCAAACAGGCTACATGCATTACTGATGCATGCAACACGTCACATCCACATTGGAATTGAGCTGTGTCGTTTACCATAGCGTTCATTTCGTGAGTATAGTTTATTTTTTTCTTCTTTAATTGTTTTTCATTTCGTTTTCTTAACTGTTTTCCTTATTTTTTAGTGGAATTGGCGGTGGAATTGAGCTGTGTCGATTGATCTGCATTTGAATTGAAATATTTCGTTAGTATTTTTTATTTTTTTTTGTTTCGTCTTTGTTTTCTAGGTTTTCTTTCTTTTTTAATGTTCTGCAATTTTATATGTTTTTGTTATAACTTTCTTTCTTCCTCTTCAGTGCAATTGATCTGCTTTAGTTCATCCAAATAATGCCTCGCAGAAGATCAAACTTAGGTCGTCGTACTTGCGCAGCGGAAGCAGTGCGACGAGTAATTGCAAATTAAACTGGGGAAGAACGGGCAGACTGAGCCACAGCAATGCGTGGCCGGGTACAGCTAGTTCTTAATAAATGTAAACTTATAACAGAAGCGTCAGGAATGCATTCAGAACAAGCAAAATCACTTAGAGTATTTTCTAAATTTGTGTATCTTTTATTTATAATGCATATAGGTTCTCCATTTGTAAATCTAAATCTCTGCAGCCTGAGATGATGAAGTGATACCTATATCCCCATCTCAACAATTTTATGATTTTCCTCAGATTTTCTATTTGATTACCATGAAAGAAGCTGAAGTGACCTCAGTGTCCACACATACACACTTTTTACAGCACCATTTCCTGTTATTTACCACTGTGATACCACACAATGATCAACAGTACTTGGTTGCCCAGAATTGAAAGAGCAATATATGTAGATTTCTTTTGCATTACAGAGAATTGTCTATGATTTCCTAGCATACCAGATTAGTTGTGCTGTGAAATCAGCCAGCCGTCCATTCCAAGGCCAGACCCGTGATACTTATGAATTGACTTTTTGCAAGCATTTTTCCATTTAGCCATTTGAATGCTTATCTCAGGACAGGCAGTTTGATTTCAAGGGTTGTGGAAGCTGTTTTCTCCATGTGAAATCTTGTTCAACAATAGTGATACTAAAACAAAATACTGTTGAAAGTTGCATGCATTTCTTAGGCAGGATGATTCCAAGAGCCAGAATACACTCTCTTCAAGCTTATTTTCTGTGGCAGAATGTTGTGATATGTTGCCAAGAAAAGGAGACAAAGAATTTTAGAATTACTGGGGCTGCATTTGTCTATATACTCGTAATTCAGAAGAAGCAAAGCGTTCATTTATATTTTCTTTATTTCTCTTTTGTGCAAGAAAGGTAAAAAGGTAAAGTTATTCCTGTAACAGGCCTTGAAGGCCCATAAGGTTGTTTGATGTCAAGGCCCCTACATTTTGTCTAGACAGTTGGCTCACAGATGGTGGTAAGGTTGTCAGACTTACACGCCAGCTGCCCTTTACCCCCAGGAAGATTCCTGGTACTCATTTCTGTTAGAGGCTGAGTCAACCCCAGGGCAAAAATGCTGCTGGAAGGATTAGGTCAATGAAAAAAACCTCTTCATCAGGAATTGAACCCACAACCTTCCGGTTTGTAGCATAGTGCCGCAACGAACTACACTACTTCATGCCCCTTCTCTTTTGTATATCATAAAGAATTTTTTCTCTTGTTTGCTATTGTTATAGTATAGTGGTTTTTAATTTGGGAGTTCTATTAATACATTTTTTGGGTCAAAATAATTCCACAGACCAAATGAAAAAAAAATGGTTAGGAAACACTCCTTAAGACACTTGTGTAAGCATCACTGGTATAGCTGACATGTCCCAACAGTTGCTTACAGAAACTGAAAATTATATAGGTGCCATTTTATATAGAATGTTTTTTCAAAAAAAATTGTCATTCATGGAGTTATATGGAGCTACCAATTGTTAGCCACACTATGTTCAGAAATGCATTGAGATGGGGTTACATGGAACTACCATTGTTAGCCACACTGTTCAGAAATGCATTGAGATGGGGTTAGATGGAACTACCATTGTTAGCCACACTATTTTCAGAAATGCATTGATATGGAGTTACAACCATTTCATTCCCAAAGGTCAACAGGAATGAGAGTAAGAGTGAAATGTAGCTACAGAAAAATAACACAGCTCTTATTACTCTTTGTCAGATGTACATTCTTTTGATCCACTGTTCTCCATTTCTCTGTCTGTGACCTGGTTGTTAGGTGATTATATTTGTCCACCATATGAAAGTGATCTAGTCATATGTGCATCATTTTTTCATTGCTTAGTAACTTCTTACTTCAAAAAGTGATCACCATACAGTGCTGTGGTTGTATACAGTAGAAAAATAATCAGTAGGAACACATGTTCATAAGATTATCATAATAAATTAAACACCCTCATCATTTAAATGCAGTTTATACTGTTGTGTTGACTGAGTGGAGGTGAGAGGGCAAGTCACAACCCAGTGTACACATGTGACCAGGCATCCATCCTCTCCCTATTTTACGCCTCTTCTAGCAATTTGAAATGCATAGACCATTCTGAAAATATTAGCCTAAAATCATTCCACACATGTGCTTAGAAGTGGCATGCAGCATTCATGTGCAGTAAGCAGAGTGGCAAAAAGCAAGTAGTGAGTCTTTAACTGGCAGGGACAAGATGAGTGTAAGAAGAGCGTGCAGTGGTATTCAGTGATTTAGTAGTGAACTGCAACAAATTGATATCAAGACTGTAAGTGACAAATTGAAAATACTGCTACAAAATAAGGTAAACGTTGCAATATTAAGGAAATCCCTCCAAAGAGTAACCCTTCCACTAACATTTAAAACATTCACCATGTAAATTAACAATGTTTAGATATGTTTTCAGTGGTAATATGTAACTTCCTCTGTAGAAGTAGCATTTTCTCTTAAGTTCTAATACTTTTATGTTACAGTTTGTTAAAACTCATCTACCTTCTTCACTGGCATTATAAAAGATTTCAGCATTACAGAGTAGAGTACCAAAGTAATAAATATGAATTCATAAAAATTTGGTTGTGAATGTTTTCAGAGGATTGGCCAGAAATGATAAACAAGCCTATGCTCCTGGATGTTGGGCAGGAAACATCTCTTTCACCACCACAAACATGGACTAGGATCACTGATCTACAGCCAGCAACAACTTATTACTTCAGAGTGACTGCCTACAACCAACTTGGTGGTAGTTCCCCTAGCCTTCCAGTGACTGTAACCACAGAGCCTGCAGTACCATCTGGCCCTCCTCAGAACCTTACTGTGGCAGCAATAGGTCCACATGCTTTACATGCCACATGGAACCCACCTGATCCAAGAGATCGTAATGGACAAATTCTCGGATACTACTTGGGTTATGTACAGCTCAGGTGAGTATGTTTAAAATGTGTTTTTTAGTCACAGTAATGCTACATCAGTTTTATCTCGGTAATATAATTTACTCATCAAAATTAAAAACTGGAGAGTTTCATTTAATTTCTAAGTATGAAATTTCTCAGTTGCAATCATTTTATAATATTCATATTCTTCTCAGGTTTAAGCCTTAACGGGTTTGATGTCTTCAATTTCCAGAGCCTCTGTTCTCTCAGTTCCTTTTAAATCCATATTTTTTTAATATTTTTCTGATGTTTGAAGCATGTAAATTTTCCATGAGAAGTTATCAGGCCAATGTCAACTCCCAACCTGGAAGACCAGGTTATTCTCTTAGTCTGGTAACTCTCCCTCTGCCTGTTCAGCTTGGGTGCTTCATACTGACATAGCTTTCATGTACATCAGAGATATCAAGCTTCCTCACTACAGCAAGGGGGGAAAAACTTTACAGAGCATTTTATTATATTTCAGGTAGTAAAACATAGACCTTGTCTCTGAGGAAAGATTAGAGAATGAATTTCTTAGAAAGAGTATTTGGATCCAGATAATGAACAGAACAGAAAATGAAGGAAATCTTAATTTCATACGTATGCTTTTCACTCAGTTTGTTGGAGTTATACAGGCCCTAAGCAGTCATAGTAGTCATCAGTGGCGGCTCATGATGGTCTGAATATGTGGGGCCAACAAGAAATAGTCAACCCTCCACCAATGCCTATATTTAAGGAAAGAGGGGACGTATTGCATTATTCTAATTTCACATTTGAGAGTTTATGATTTATGATATGAAATAGCCCCATTCCAGCAACTGTGGCCTCATTTTGTGTTGACAGGAAAATTTGAAACAAATGTGCTCTACTTCCTATGACCTGTGATTGCTGTGATTGTGTGATATAAATGCAATATCCACTTGGGTCAGGGAGTGATTCAGACCCTGCTTGGTTCATTTCTGCCTTCTCATTCCCACACATTATTGATACAGACAGACTGACACTTTATACTGTGTTTCACCTGGGGATTCATAAAAACCTAAAAATATACAATTTCAACCGCTTGCCATGGACTGACTACATGCCTCCCATCTCACCTTTTAAAGATTCATATGACACTGAATTCATTTTGGCAATTCTTCATTTAATTATATTCATGTACAGCATTTGTGTAATACCAGCACTATAATTATGTTCCTTACTGCTGTTATAATTTTGCCTTTGAAATTACTGCAGACCCTACAATTTCAGCATTTACACAGAGATTCTAATTCACTTTCATCCATATTCATATTACAGGCTTATCAGTTTAATAATCATGTACACAGACATAGTGGTCACATAATTGTATCAAATCTCATGCAAATGAAGAATGCAAAGTACCTGTAGTGGGAGGGAGAATAATGAAAATTCACACAAGTGATGGGGGAATGAAGATGCCCAAAATTTTATGAAAACCTGTTTAGGGCCCATTATCTGATGCCATAGGCTAAGGCCTATGAGACAAGGCCTTCCATGAACTTCTTGCAACTTAATAAACTTCATTTCATTTCATTTCATTTCATTTCATTTTTATGCATGTGTATTTTGAAACATCTTCTTTGTGTCACACAAAATGTAAACAAATTATAAATCTATCAAAGTAGTTTTTATATACAAAGGTGATGTTGATGAGGCTCAGCCCTATAGGGACTCACCACTCTTTATAATCATGGCAAAGACAACATATACAGATAACATTTTGGTAGGTAATGTTCACAGAAAGGGGCAACTGGGGAAAACAAAATGTATGTAAAAGGAGAGTGTGTAATATACTAGGTAGATTGAACTGGCTGAAGATGGGATTTATTGGTATCTGTATGGTGATGAGAATGAATTGTTAGAATCCTAGATCTCTTGTTTGTGAACTAAGGGCTAGTGTGCCTGGTAAACCTGTATGAAAAGGTGTGGGCTGGAAGACAAAGACAAAGAAACATACTAAAAGCAAAGATTATTCCTAAAACTGAGGCTAGATCAAACTTCAAAAGTTCGAGCAAATACCTCATGCACCAATGCAGGGCCTGTCAGCTGTGAAAGTGTGAGGCATCCTCCTGGTTCATTTAGCATATGGACAATATTTTCCACTCAATGTAAAGCTGAAGTTTAACATGAAATGAGGTTATGTGATCAGTCCAGTATAGACATATTAAAGGAATTGGAACGAAAGACAGCTCAGCCTTCACAGTCTAAGGACTCCATGTAAATACCCAAGACTCCTATTTCACCACTAAAGGTTTGATCTGGCCTCATATTTGGGGCTGATTTTTTTTCTTTTTTCTCTACCCCTGTCCCCACCAATCCACACCTCCTGTACAACTTTGATAAACATTACAACCCTTTTCCACCACCCCACTTTCCCACCACCCAAAAGAGACTGGCCAGGCTCAGGTCTGAAATTTTGGTGCGCTCCCTGTTGGTCACTTGTAAAATTGAGGGTCATTAACCAAGGGTAGGATCAGTACTTAATGTTGCATCATATTATTTTAGGCTTGGAACTGAAGACCGTTATAACTACACAACTGTGAAAGAAGAAGACTTGAATGAGTGGGTTCTGCAAGGGCTGAATAGTTTCACCAAGTACAGAGTCATTGTTCAGGCTTTCAATAATGTTGGAGCAGGACCAGCCAGTGCAGGAGTGACAGTGACCACGGCTGAAGCAGGTCAGAATCTGTGCATCTTTTAAGATATGATCTACAGGGTGAATCATATAGAACCAGCCCAATGAATTTGCTAATAATTTCGCAGGTGATGCATATAACTGCTCACAATTACGAGATAATAATTCGTGGGCTGTGCTGAGTCGAATGGTGTGCGCATGATCTGGCAAGTGGCAGCCCTTATGCTGCAAGGTCAAGGACAATCCCGAAACGTGTCTGCAGTGCACAGGCGACAGTCATGGAGTACACTGTTGAACAGCGAGTGTTTCTTGTGCGCATGTACTGGGTGACAGGCTTGATTGCGAACACACAATTGGAATTCAGGAGGAAGTTTGGAGTTCAAAGAAGCCAGTGAAATCTACTATACAGTTCTTGGCTCAGAAATTGGAAAGGACAGGGACACTTTTAAGTGAACATGGTAAAAACCGCCCAGAAATGCCAGAAGAAACGATTGCAATTGTGCAGGACAGGTTACTGCAGTCTACCAAGAAATCATTACGACATCTAAGCCAGGAAACCTGGTATTCTTATTTAACGTGTCAGTGGGCTGCAAAGAAAGCGAATCTTCATCCCTACATCCCAGTGTTCAGGAATTGGGTGATGTTGATAAAGATAAACAGGTACGTACTGTTTATGGTTTCAGGAATTTGTGCACGATAACCCCAGAATTTTGGATATCACATGGTTTAGTGATGAAGCATCAGGATATGTAAACACACAAAATTCCAGGATCTGGGCATCTGAAAACCCACATGAGATTGCTGAATCACCACTACACCCACAAAAAGTGGGTGTGTGGTGCGCCATTTCTGGTTTACGAATCATTGGACCGATCTTCTTCAACACGACCGTGGACAGCACCATATACTGACATATTTTTTACGATTTTGTGCAGCAGCTGGATGATGTGGAACTTACACAGGGTTATTTTCAGCAGGACTCAGCGACATGCCACACGTCAAACATGTCCATGGAACTGATTGAGAGCTTCTTCCCCAATTGCATCATCTCTAAAAGGATGTGGCCCCCAAAATCCTCTGACCTTACCAGCCTGGATTTTTTTCTTTGGTGTTTACTGAAGGACAGGGTGTATGCAAACAAACCGCTTATGTAACAGGATTTAAAGGACAACATTTTGGCTGAAATCAGGAACATCACTGAAGAAACACTGCAGCGAGTCACGGCGAATATGCAAACACGGGTGGAGGCATGCCTACTTGAAAACGGTGGACACTTTCAACAACTGCTCTGATCACGGCACGCAATCCAAGATAATATATGTGTAAATTACATTATTATATGTATGGTATATTTTATATTACAGCTCATTTCGTCAGGCTGGTTCTATATGAATCACCCTGTATATAAAGAGCATTATAAAAGGTTTAATTCTTCTTATTCTTAAAATATTCATCTAGTGTACAAAATGAATGGAAATACGAAAATTATTTTCAAGGCCGATTTAATATTTAAAAGCCGGACTTCGAAATAGTGGTAAGCTTGATCTGGCCGGAGTTTATTTTAATGCCCACTGCTAGTGCGCGTTTAAATGCCTGTTGCTACTCTGCGTTTAAATGTCCGTTCCTATTAGGCGCTTCAATTTTAAGCGTTGTGTTTAAAAATGCTGTATCTTGCTCAATTTTTATGATAAATGGATGCTATTAACTTTCTTTATGTCAGTAAAGAACATAGTGTCACATATTATAATGGAAGATTTGAAATTTTTAATACAAAGTGTTATATTCTATTTTCAATTTTTTGTTTTAATTTTGATGCGTACTGCAAAAATGGTTTCCCAGTTCTTCACAGAGTTGTTTTGCATTATAAATTCATTTCTTTTTGTAACACATGACGAATTTTAGCAGTACCTGGTGTCATAAAACAGATGGAAGCAATAAAATCATTTGGTCTTATGCTAGCCCTGCTTACACTCTTTGGATTTTCGAATCTTTTGACAGAAGGACAGAAGAATGAAAGCATGGCTATTCAAGAGAAAGCTAGAGGGGTCCCTTCTTCAGTGCTAAGACCTTCCGTTAGAGCTGCAAAAGTTTATTGCCCTTTCTATTTGAATGAGCAGACAGCTGCATTGTGGCTAAGATACAGAGTGCGATCAGTTTTCTGTGCGTTCGTAGTGAAATCGAATACTGTAGTATAATTTCAGCCTATATATACATCAAGCAGGTAACAACAAAAAAGGTATGGACATCGAATTTTACAATATATATTTAACATACCTATCTGCAGAATCTGTAATAAAATTACTGGATCATGGATAAGTTTTGGCATAACTCATACGTATATTTTTATTTGCTGTTGTTCATTTAGGCATCAATTTAATTCCTCTATTAGGGTTTTACTCAAGTCTGTCTTGTAATTACTACATTTAAAAATAAATAGTTAGGACTGTGCATGTGCTTCCACTAGTGCCGTGCGTGCGCGCTTCCACTAGCGGAGTTTAAATGCCTGACTGGCACAAACGGGGCACTTTGGCCATGACGACCTTACTCATGACTGGCACAAACGGGGCACTTCAGCACTTAAAGGTTAAATTGTTTTGTATTATGGGACATATCCATTATTGGAACATGTAAAGTGTTAAACACCTTACTCCCAGTATAATATATTCCCTTCTGATATACTGACAATGAGACGTTGGGTGGTGCAAATCAGATTTAGTCCTGGTATTAATATTATGTGTCTCAGAATTTACTTTAGAATGATGTTTATTACTGATCACAAACAATGAAAGTGAATATACATACTGAGATTGTAGTGGTAATATTTTTAATTTTCTGAAATATTCTCTACATGTATTTATATCTCTGATCCCCACTCTAATGCAAATAATTATTTTTTGTAGTCTAAAAATTATATTGCTATAACAAGAATTTACCCAAAAGGCCATAAGTCATGATAGAGTGAAAATAAGAATAATATACCATCTTTGATGATTCCTGGGTCAAGAATAGCTTAATTGTTCTAATCATGAAAGAAGCTGAACTTAGTTTGGGCGTAAGTGTATCTATATGGGTCTTCCAAGAATGCCTTGTCCAATGTTAGGCCAAGGAATTTTGTATTAAAATCTTAACTATTTTCTTGTTCCCATGCATTACATTTAAATCGATTAAAACTAATCTTAGTTAGTATCAGGATGTGTAATTAAGGTATATGGAAATACAGTTGATTGGTACACTAAGAAACAGAGCACAATTGCATTGTCATCAACAGAAGCAGAATTTAATGCTTTGTCAGAGGGTTTAAGAGAATTGCATTGGGCAAATAAGTTACTGGTAGAAATTGGTGTAAAGGTGAAAACTCCAGTAATCATGCATGATGACAGTTGTGTATACACATGATTACCGGTGAATGGGGTCAGAAAAGGTTACATCATATGGACATTAAGTATAAGTTTATAAGGTACTGGGTTGAACAAGAATTTATAGTAGTGTGGGATTATCGATGTTTGAAATGACAACCACTTGAAACTCTTAACACTTGTATATATATTGAATTTACAAAATAGCAGAACACGGAATATATGTGGAATGGTCAAGCGTTAACTGGCCCTCTAAGGGCAGTTCGTTCCACTGCAATTTCACTCCTCTGTAGTGGGCGCAGTCTTACAGCTGTTTAGCTGGCCGGTGATGCCGTGCTGCTCACACCAGTAGGATCGGCTAGCTCGGCCAGTTGCTGGAATTGCAGAAGATGCGTTTGCTGGAGACTTGCTGCTGCTGCTTCAGTTGCCTGGTCGCTGGAGGCGTGTGGCAACTAGAGCTGAAGTGAGGAGCTGATGTCTCTGATGACTGATCGCAGTGGAGAGTTGATGGCCGAACGTGCTGAGCCGGATGTGTGTCCTGCTCTTGTTGGGCTCCACCTTTTATACCATGCACGGTGGGTGGAGCAAAACTTGCATTTGAGGAGCAACAATTTGCAGAGCGCTGATTGGCTAGCGAAAATGCGGAGCAGAAATTTGCAGTGCGTGCTTGTATAAATATGAATGAAACGTCCGGCAATGCGATATTCACTAAGGAGTGAGTTTTGTCTTTTTGTATCCCAGAAGGCTGTGCAGTTTCCAGTGTGGCAAGATGGTTGTCGCGTGTTATGTAGTCATGAATAAAGTCATATGTTATGTATGAAGAGGAAATTCTTTTGAAGAAAGTCGTCTTCTGGGTTTAGGCACCGTGTATTCTTCGTGCCTAAACCCAGAAGACGACTCTCTTCATTGTCATCACCGTGAAAACCTCAAAACTTACAGGAAATTCTTTTGTTTCGGTAAAATACCTTCCCTCAGTTCAAACATCATATTTGTTTGTCAGGATTGCCTTCCTGTTACAGCACCATCAGCCCCACCACAGGACATACGCTGCAGTACCATCACATCCCGAAACTTGCATCTGGCATGGTCTGCACCTCCAGCTGCATCACGAAATGGAATTATAACTGGTTACCGCATCACATATGAGAACCTGTGTGTTCCAACTGGTAAGTACATAGGAGTTTCAAAACATTTCATACAGAAATACTTGAATTTTGATATTAATACCATTGTGCATTATTTGTGAGCAAATTATTAAGCTACTTGGGTGAAGAAACTTCTCCTCCTCATATCATATCAGGCCCGAAAAGTCTGTGACTGTTATCAGAACTTGCTGCTTCAACACATTACAAATAAAACATACTCACATTGCAGCATGCTAGAAATGCTCTCTGTTCTGCACACATCCTGGCACCTCAGTAAAACATTTGCTTTTCATCTTAGTTCTTCTTGAAAAAGGGAAAAGTTTCATTTCTTCAATTGTGTAAAGGTTTTCTCTGTTAAGACTTTGGTTTAAGATTCCCTGTAAATAAGAGCCACTTGTGCTGAGACCAGAGGAGCATGCTAAGTGCAAACCACCGATAATAATAATTCTTGCCCCATACATTTCCCTCAAAGCATTCGTGGATGTCCTTACTATGTTAGCTGTATTGAAATCATATTAAGATGTATGAAGAGTGTTCCATATACAGGATGTTTCACGACTTTAGGGCATAACTGCAGGAGGTGATTTCCTAGGTCTTTGTGATCAAAAAAGTTCATTTAAGCATGTATCCGATTTTGGACGGTTATGGAGTTATGTCCACTTTAAACTTAGAATAGAAGGTAACGATTACTGACAATAAACGGAACAAAATAATAAACCAGCATAATACATGATACTTTTAAAGTATGAATGTAAAGTTAACTTTGTGAAATTATCTTTCATTTGAATTTATTGGTGCTTAAAGCTGATTTTCGAAAATGCCACCGCTGACCGCAACACAGGCTGCCGCTCGGTTGTGATCCACGTGGGTAGCATGTAGCAGCTTCAGCTGGCTGTTTCTTATGTGGTTAGCGGGGTCCAGAATGTGACTGAGCAAAGCATCTCGCGTTGCTACCTTCACATTGTAAACCAGTTCTTTCATCCATCCCCACACACAATAATCCAGTGGGCTTAAGTCTGGAGACCTGGCTGGCCAATGGTGGGGACCGCAACGTCTGATCCATCGCCCAGGGAAACGATAGTTCAGGAAATTTGTAACTCCACGTGAAGAATGAGGAGGAGCCCCATCGTGTTGGAATTACATATGACTTCGTTTATCCAAACGCACATTCTCCAAAAGTTGGGGCAATTCCTCCTGTAGAAATCTGAGGTACGCCTCTCCTGTAAGATGACCTTCCAAGATGAAAGGACCTGTCAGCTGATCGTCCAGAACTGCACACCACACATTGACACTGAAACGTTGTTGAAAGTTGCTCTCAACAGTGGCGTGGGGATTCTCATCTCCCCACAAATGAGAATTGTGTATATTATTGACACCATCGCGATTAAATTGCGCTTCGTCTGTAAACATAATGTAACAATGCAAATGGCGACTGCCATTGAGCCACTTGCAAAAGTTCAGCCTCTCAGCAAAATCTTCAGGTCAGAGATGTTGCACTCGCGGCACGTGGTATGGATACGTGCCCTCTGCATGCAGTGTTCTCCACACTCTCGTGTGGGGAACATGAAGATGTCTTGCAATTCTTCGCAAACTCGTACGTGGACTGCGGTGTACCATACGAACAATGCCTTCTTCATCGACGCCTTCGTTAACACCACACTTGGCTGCAATACGAATGTCGGGAAGTATCTCGCAATGCCTGGTAAACTCCAGTACTCACTTTCCGGTTCGGTATTCTGCGATTTGGAAACTGTTGTTGATATTCAGCTACAGCAAGAACTGGGTTACCATCACAAAATCTGTACACATAAATCATATCTGCATACTCCTCAAATGCACTTCACCATGACTGGTGCACCACCAGTTGCAAAGTGCACACAAATTTTGCTGATGACTCAGCATGCTTATAACATTTGGAATGAGGGAAGTTCTTACCTATGGTCACAGATCACAGGAGTAGTTAAAAATGCTATCCCTCTGCACGTAAATATTCCTTATACTGGCGAAAGATGTCAGTATCTTTAAACATGTCCCTATAATATCTCCTAAGTGGTCTTCTACCTTCAGGTTCTATAGCTAATACTGTATATGCCTTATTGATCTCTCCCATTCCTTCTACTTGCTCTGTCCTTCCCAGCCTCATTGATTTGATGATGCTAGTAATAAATGTTAACATCTAATATATAAGTTATAAAGAGTAGTGTCTGTTAAGTTTTTATTTATTTTAGTAGTTAACATATGAGAATCATTTAAATTCAAATGATGTGGACATACCAGCTAATCTAGCCATTAAAGAAGTAAGAGACTAATTCATTATGAGATGACTGATCTCTTTCTGTAAAATTTCGTCTTACTAACATATTGTAACGTGTTTGCGTTACTGAAGTCGCCGTAGGGATGGTTAATTGGTTTATTTAACAATCTTCAAATAACGGCTACAATTAGTTATCACAATATTACGGGTTTCCACACTTTACAAACCCTACAACAAAATCTCTTAACACTATCTTCAAGAGTCTTCACGTATTAATAACGCGGGAGCTATACAAGTCTCCCTGAATTACACACTCCAGATATAACTGGTTATCACTGGTTATGGCACACGCGTCTGTAGCTCGTAACTTGCGAACTGAGAACTCGTTGGTAACGCACTGACTGGCTGACTTTACGACTCGATTCAGCGACTGTTACAGTACAACTGAACCGCAGCCGCTGTGCAGCTCACTTATATAGCTGCAGTGCTTGCTTGTTGCGTAATGAGTGCCACGTCATCCTATTACGTCACCGCTGTTGACTCGCATTGCATAGTTACCAGGTCGTGAAGTAACAGGTGAAACTGAGTGCACTACAAGATGGCCACTGTATACATATCATGGAAGAAATTCAGTGCAACAGGACGCTAAAATACAACTATTCAAATTAATGTTTCAGGTTTTGCTATTTTTCTTTTTATTTTCTCAGTTTCGTACTACCTCTTAAACTTCTATTTTTTGAACTTGCACAAACGTTATAATTTTAAGAAAGGATATAACATGAGCATATTCTGTGCTGATGTGAAGAAAGAAATTATAACAAACTAGAAATGAGTATATTCATAGTTGGTGCAGATGATGATGATGATGATAACAATGACGACGAGGACGACGACGATGATGATGATGATGATGGTGATGACGATGACAACAATAACAATAACAAGAAGAAGAACAAGAGAAACAACAACAACAACAATAATAATAATGATAATAATAGTAAAGCTAGAAGAAGTGATGCCTTTCCATTTGTTTTATGGCGTGAATCTTGCAAACTACTAGAAGAAACTGTTTGCTTAATTATACTGGACTGGCTTCGTGGATATGTACAATCTGTGCCATCCTAACTGTACCATCACAAAAAAGAATCGAAGATAAGACTGGTCACTTTTTCCTGCAATCTTGTGTTTTATGTCACTTATGATGGGTGTTGTGATATTTCATATTTTTCTGTTTAAGGTGTCAAGTCAGCAGATGATTATACCATCACTTTGGAAGTTAATAAGTTGTCCACAATATTAGTGGACCTGGATAAATATTGCAACTATTCTATTCATATGGCAGCAATGACATCTGTTGGAATTGGACCATGGAGTGAAGCTGTCACATGTAACACTGCAGAAGATGGTAAGGACCAGCTGGAACGATATATTTCTATGATATCCTTTGGTCATAAGGGTGATTAATATGAGTGGCATTAAAATTCTTAGGAAAATACAAGATTTAACCTCCTGTAACGGTGATTTCCATGGTAAAAGCTGATCACCCTTCTACTGGAAATGATGTGAACCCATTAGTCCTTTCATTCCACATACTTACAATGATTAAGAATTAGAATAGACAGGGAATGAAAAGGACTTCTATTTTCAGCCAGACTTAAACAGTTTTCTCAATTCCAAAGCACTGAACATGGGCAACACAGAAAAGATATTCTAAATTCTAGATGTTTACATTATATGCACGTATATGCACATATGTCTGAAGTCTGACAATAAAGTTCGCGAACTCGGCACTGTGTGCTTGCTGTGGCAGCAGCGGACAGAAACTGCAGTATGGTTTGATGACGTTATTATATCAGTGTTTCACAGCTGTGTTGTTGTCGATCTATGGCAGTTGCTTTCTGGATGGCGTTTTGGTGTGCCATCACAAGAATGTCTGAGCTTGAATTAGAGTAAAGAATGAACATTAAATTTCTCATTAAACTTGGCAAGAGTGGAAGCAAAATCAGAGAGATGTTAGTGCAAGATTACAGGGATAATTGTATGAAGAAAACAGCAGTTTACAAGTGAGTGACACGTTTTTCATCAAATTGTGCTTGAAAATTGTCTGCTGACTGTCAGGGGCAAGCAAACATTGGCAGAGAAACAGTTAGGAAAATCTTAACTAAAGATCTTGATATGAGGAAGGTGTATGTAAGAATAGTCCCAGAGGAACTCGCTGAAGAACAAAAACAAAATTTTCCAAGAACTTTTGGAGAGGCAAGATGACATTTTCGGCCATGTCATCACAGGTGATGAAAAAAGCAGCAAATTGCACAGTGGAGACTACCAATTGTTCATGACCAAAAAACTTTGTCAGTTCAAATCAAGATTCAAAACATTTTTATATTATAGGGATTGTTCATTATGAGTTTGTGCCAACTGGACAAACAGTCAACCATGTTTACTATTTGGAATTATGAAAAAGGCTGCATGAAAGAATTAGATGGAAACAACCCGATCCTTTTGCCAACAACTTATGGATCATACAGCACCACAGTGCACCTGCTCACAGAGCACTCTCTGTGATTGAGTTTTTGGCTAGTAAACAAATAACTGTGCTGGAACACCCTCCTATTCATAGGATTTATCCCCCAATGACATTTTCTTTTCCGAAGATAAAGGAAATTTTGAAAGGGAGACATTTTGATGACATTGATGACATCAGGAATAATATGATAGCAGCTCTGAAGGCCATTCCACAAACCTGTTTCTGAAATTGTTTAGAAGGGTGGGCTAGGAGCTGGCATCGGTGCATAGCTTCCCAATGGGAGTACTTTGAAGGAGACCACAGTGGCATTCAGCAAAGAGGTATGTAGCACTTTCACCATGCTGAGTTCGCGAGCTTTGTTGTTAGACCATGCATATGTGTGTGTGCGTGTACGTGTGCGTGTACACACGCATACATACACACTTCACAGGTGTGTGTGTCTTTCATGAGATTTCAATGTCAGGGGGTGTGTTGCTAATACACTGGAACATCGATTTACCTTATTTTTAACATGGCTAAACTGAGAAGTTTGTGCAGAACAACTTTTGGCAGTTGTCTGTACTTTTATATAGGGTGTTTCACTACTTTAGGCCTAACTGCAGGAGGTGATTTCCTAGGCCTTTGTGATCAAAAAAGTTCATATAAATATGTGTCCGATTTTGGACGGTTACAGAGTTATGACCATTTTTTCATTCCCGTACATGCCCTTGTGTGAACTGCGTCTGTCATCTGGCGGGTCACTATTTTTAGTCAGCTACAGGCAGAGCGTTCTCGTTACCTCGACACTTGAGAGGTACCTAAAGTGTGGTGGGTTGGTATGTCCAGTGCGGTTCACAACCGAGCGGCAACCTGTGTTGCGGCCGCCGGTGGCATTTTCGAAAATCAGCTTTAAGAACCAATAAATTCAAGTTAAAGGTAATTTCACGAAGTTAACTTTACATTCATACTTTAAATGTATCATGTATTATGCTGGTTTATTATTTTGTTCCGTTTATTGTCAGTAATCGTTACCTTCTATTCTGAGTTTAAAACAGTCATAACTCTGTAAACGTCCAAAATCGGACACATGTTTATATGAACTTTTTTGATCACAAAGACCTAGGAAATCACCTCCTGCAGTTATGCCCTAAAGTTGTGAAACACTCTGTATAATGTAAACTCTCACATCATCTATGTAGAAGAAATACATGCTGCCAGTAACATAGGCCACTTGTACCAATCCACAGCTTTGGTTATGCTGAGGGTGTCTATACTTCGAAGTTTAAATTAAATAAAAACATGCCCAATCATACCTGTAAGTAGTGATCACATTCTAAGTTGCATGTCTGCTCAAACATATGAGCACTCAGCTGATACTGGTCACAGCCTATTTTCTGGTCACCGTAATAAACGATATTGGTCCCTTTGGGGTGTCTCGGGCACCCAGATGGGAATCAGTCACAGAATACTGAATATGTGTTTTATAGTGCACTACATTTTTACATGTATACCCATTGCTAGGCAACAGGTCACTAAACACATTCCCGCAACACATGCACACATGACAGTAGAAGGACATCCATTGCTAGGTAATGGACTAGTAAATACATATCCTTAACAACAATAGACGGTGTTTTTGTGGGGTCTTTGCCGAGGGGTTAGAAATGGTCACAGTCAGAAGACACAACAGAGTATAGAACAGTAGTCGAGAGTGAAGAGTGGAGCTTTGAGACGCCAGCCTGCCAGGATATGAGGAATTGAATTAGGTCGAGTTCTGGAGGTGGTAGTCAAAGATGATAGAGAAGAAATGTCAAGAAAGAATTACACAGTGCCAAGAAGACTTCATATGTGAGTTGAAGTTACAGCAAGACTGTGATAAATCCATTTCCAGGGTAGGACTAGCAAAAACTGAAAATGCAATAAATCCAATCATTCAATTCAAAACCCTGTCTGTAATCACTAATACATGTGGCAATATGCATGATTGTTGCTGCAGATCTCCAACATTTTACAAGCCTAATATGCCAGTAGATGGTTAACACAAAGCAGCAGACTTTCTAACTCTGCAGTATATGTGTTTCTCACCTCTTTCACAAATAGTATGCTGAATTTGCTGCTTCTAAGGAAATCTATACTTATTTAATTATTACTTTTTGTAGAGTAAATAAGTTTGGAAATGTTCTGGTACCAGCAGTGTACATACTTGTAGATCATTATGTTTCTTAAAACTGTCTTTTCTTAAATAGACGTTTACATATCCTATTAAATTAATTGAATCAGATATTTCAGAGAGGTGATCGGTCATGAAAAAATCGAAATGGAAATTACAGCATTGGGTCATGTTTTGTTGCATCCTGTTATGTAAATTACTGTAGGTAATTTTTATTGCCAAGACAGCTCTATTTTCAACAGATGCGGTATCTGGCCAAGACGGCATATTTTGTCACACATGTACCATTCTCAAGTCCCGATTTTTAGTTACAGTTAACATCATACAAGAATATGTTAAATATTATCTACTGTATCTTCTGTTTAGTTAAAGGTGTTTTGAATGTGTTGTGCTGAAAGAAGACCATTCTTGTACACCAACATGTCAGAATATACGTATATGTTGGTGTATCCCAGAAAATGGATTAGTCACAGACAGATATGCTTTTTGAAATATTGCTGTCATTACAGAAGAGCACATCAACTGAGCAGGTGATCACCTAGTGAAGAGTTTTGTATTCTGGGATGTGATGATTTGCAGTCTGATAGAAATTTGCCAGTGTTTTAGATGTTATCCTTCCTTTTATTCCTCAGCTGTCCCTGGCCTCAGCTACCAGATTCTAAGAGCAACAGCTCTCAATGACTGAACTCCAGCATTTACTAATTCACTAACTCACCAACCAACTCAATGCTCTAAAAATCACTGACTCCTAACTTGTGTTTATAACATCTCGGCATGGACTGTGTGGAAAATATCACTTCCCATTATTGTTGTATCCTCTTGTTGTTGTGAAAACATGCTTGTTTGCAGAGCCATTACTTAGCAACAGCTGTTGTATAGTTTCTTATTTTGCAGCCATTGCCTAGCAATGGGTCTACATGTCACAGTATTAACGTTAATACCTTGACAATTCGAGAAGCTGCGGTGTAGTAATACTAAAGGGAAGAATTTATGAAGTATGCATTTGAGATGACCTCAGCTGGCGTGACATACATACCAAGTCTCATGACTATCAGTTCAGGCATTTGAGTAATAGTTGAGCTGACCCTCGCCTCTTTACCTTTCCTCCTACCAAGGGGGAGACGCCGCTTCCGTCTCCTAGTTCTTGCTGTTGCGTCTTAATACCTCCTGAGATATAAGGGATGTCCAGGCAGTAACAAAAATTTAATATAACAAATATAATAGAATACATTACAATAACACTCTGACAAACAAATAATAGATCACAATAGTTTAGCTAACAGTTTCGCTTACAGTTTAGTTTAACAGTTTAGCTAGCTTACAAATAATAGAATACATCATCACACAAGAAAATAATAACCCAATATTTGCCAACCAAAAAATGTAAATATATAGCCCCCAGACCATCAATACGGCTATTCCTCGTCCCGAACTTTCACGGGAAACCCTCCAAAACCGAATTTAGACTGGCCATGCCTAAAAGGAATTTTGCTTCTTACCTGTTTTCCCCAACTTCTCGTCCTAGAGTGTTCATCTCTCCCTACCCTACTTGTCTCCATAAAACCAGAACCAGTGGGAGGGGAAGGGGGGATCACGTGATAGGCCAGGACGGGAGAACTTTCTAGACGCAAGAACTTACGACGAGAAGAGGGAAAAGGGGGGGGGGTAGGAAGAGAAGCCGCTGAACAGAGCCTAAGTAGAACGCATGGCTCATAGTAATGGCCTCAGATAGAATGATATACATGTACCAAATTTCATTAAGGTTGATACAGGCATTCAAAGAATATTGAGGATTTGTCTCAGAAATTTGAGAGGCTGCAATATTAATATTATTGATGGGAGGGATTTACTTGTATGATGTATGCCATTGAGATGGGCTCAGGTGACATGATGTATGTACCAAGTTCCATGACAATCATTTCAAGCTTATAAGTAACATTATGATGATCACCGCAACAATTTCATATTATGTCATGTTGGTACTATTGATCAAAGGGATGTAATAAGTTGAGATGGCTTCATTTGGCATGATATACAAGTATGTACCAAGTTCCATGACAATTGGTATAGACATTCAAGAAATATTAAGGTTTTTCTTCAGAAATTTGAAAGTCTGTAATGCTGGTATTACTGGTGGGAGGATTTATGAATTATTCCATTGAAATTGGGTGAGGTGCTGTAATATACATGGCAAGTTTCATAGTTTGGTTCAGCCACTAAGGTAAAAACAACAGCATCCCATGACTATTTAAATAGTCACACTGGACGGTGTTGTTTTTGTCTTTGTAATTATTAGTGTGACAGACCAGAATGAAACAAATCAAATTTATTGTTTCAGCCATTCAGAAATTAAGGGAGGATACACATACAGACACGCACACAGAGCAAGTTTATCTTTTAAGCCTACTTAAATTTCTTCAAAATAATGAAGGTAGGCTAAAATTTGATAATAAACATCTTTACAACTGAAAGAATATGTAAGCTGCTGTGGAATTAGAGGTTATTTTTACAGCTTGATGCTGACGATAACATGTAATGAGGGTGAAAATACAGTCGAAATTCTTCATGGTATTAACAGATAGAAATTAAAGTTTATGTGTTCCTGTTAGGATTTAACCCTGATTCCTCAGTCATTCAGGCCATACCACAATCTGCATACTGATCAAACTGCTCTGGCTCCAAGTCATTAAGAATTTAAGTGAATAAAGGAGACTTCTGCTAGTAAATTTACATTACATTGGATAATTATATGTAACATATTGTGGCATGTAGATCCATTGCTAGGCAACAATCGCGAAATAGGCAGCCAGAAAAACAGCAGTTGCTTGGTAATGGCTCTGTAAACAATGGCCGCAACACAGACACAACAATAGAAAAACTGTTGGAAGCAGTGTTCTTTGTGCAGTCCAATGCCGAGGCTATATAACGAGGGCACAGCCTAATTCCTCTCTTGCCATTTCTTCTCAATTATTCTGCCAACTACTATCTCCAGAGAGTTTCAATTCTCTGCTGCAACTGCCAACTCCGGAACTCAACTCGATTCTAATTAGAGAGAGAGAAAGTTACTTTATGACTGGCGGTTTACTACCAATCATTTCGTCCTGGCTTCAGGCCCCCTGAAGCCCATGACCAGAATTTTTTTTTTTCAACTGAAATCTTGCGGGGTAATAGTCCCTATGTAACATCCTCTCTGACCAGAAGACGGGTCTGTCTCTTATGAATACACTTGACCTTTTGTCAAGTGTATATTTCGCACATATAATATGTTATCGAAAATTCTTCCTTTTGCTTTACACACACGTCCTCTGTCAGTACAGGCTTTACAGAGAAGATCATGCCTAACTGACATATCTTATTCTACAACAAAAACTCAGTCATTTGAACGGCCATAAGCTTGACCACCGTCAAGTTTAAGCCTTTATATTTTCTGTGTCTGGCTTCACCTTGTCCTATACCGTGAACATGTTCATTATCAAGATTTTGTATGACTTCTGCTTGTCATCTGCACAATTTTGTTATATAATCGTATAAATATGAAAAGTTGAAAGCTGCGCGCAAGTCATGGACTGGTGTGCACCATGGAAAATTTCCAGTGGTGTGAAAACCTTGTTTTGTATGCGCTGAAATTTTAGGAGTTAGGTGTCTCCCGCTAATTCCCAGGTGGGACAAGCGTAAGTCATTACTGATCTGATCAGTGCCTTATAGAGGGTTAGTTTAATGTTTGCATTTCAACGCTCACTTTTGAATAGGGAGTATCTAATAAATGTTCTGAAGACCTTGGCTTCAATCATTTCTATGTGAAGTCTCCACGTAATCCTCTTATCGAAGATTACGCCCAGGTATTTTACATGACTGACGTAGGGGATATTCTGCCCATTCAATGTAAGATGAGTCTGAGGGGGCCTAAGTCTATGAGAGAAATAGATTGCTTGAGTATTATCTTCATTGATTTTTATGTTCCAGTAATCACACCACGTCTCAATAACACTGAGACCTCACTGCAGCTTTCTGAGAACGTAACCCTCTTTGCGGTCTGTCGCATATATACAGGTGTCATCAACAAGGAGACCTAGATAAACACCAGGTGCTTGGGGCATTTCGTTTATATATAGACTACAGTGTGGGGGAGAGAACAGAACCTTGTGGCACTCCTGCTTGTATATCCCTTGGTGTAGACATTCCACCTTCGACTGAAACTCTAAAAATTCTCTGAGAAAGGCAAGAGCTAATTAGCTTGATTAGACTTATTGAAAATTGTAATGTAGATAATTCATATAGCAAGCCAGTGTGCCATGTTTTATCAAAGGCTGTTTCAGTATCCAAGAATGCAGCAGCTGTAGACATGTTATTGTTGAAATTTAAGGTTACATGGTCCGTAAGACTCATACATTGAAATGTCATGCTATGACGGGCATGGAAACCAAACTGGCTTGCATTAATCAGGACTTTTTCTTCAGCGTGCCTTTGGACTATTTTCAGAATAACTTTTTCGAATAACTTGCCTGTTGTAGACAAGAGGCTAATTGGACGTAAATTTTCAGGAAATTTGGGTCGTTACCAGGTTTCAGTAACGTTATAACCTTTGCTTCCTTCTAAGGCTTTGGAAAATAGGACAGCCAAAGGCAGTGATTAAATAAATGTGTCAGATGTACCAGTGACCTTGGAAGATGCCTAAGGCATTCATTTGGAATACCATCAAGTCCACAAGCCTTTCACAGTTTTAATGTATTTGTTAATTTATGTATGTCACAAGGTCATACTTTCCCCAATGGAGTGCCTTCTACAGATGCAAGCAGAGTTTGGACTGTAGTCTCTACCTGTCGCACATGGCTTTCATCACACAGGTCTTGAGATGTGAACTGGTTTTCTAAACAATCCACTATCACGTTGGTTTTCTCATCAGGATGATATGTTATTCCTAAAGGACCATGAATAGCGGTTGGTGCCTTTTGTCCATCCCTTTTCATAAGCGATTTTGCAATAGACCACAGAGTTTGAGGTGTGACCTCACAGTTCCATATTTTTGTTTCCCACCGTTCTAGTGCCTTTCTATGGGTCATTCATCTGATGGCTTTGGTGACCCAGTTGAGTGCCGTTTTATATGCTGGATCCCGAGTTACTTGCCACCGTTTCCTTAACCAGTTTGATAATTCTAGTCAAAGTCAAAGTCACACTGAAACAGACGGTCAGTCAGTCAGTAAGTCCTGGTGTCGAGCCCCATTTGGGGCTCATGACCAGATATTAATTATTATCGTTTGACAGTTACGGTCATGTTTCTGTGGGGCTCCTTCTCTGACGAGAGGACGGGTCTATCTTTTGTATATGCTTCTAGCTGCTTCAGATCCTCATTATATAGCCTCGGGGGAGACCCCACAGAAAACACAGCTTCCTTTATTGTTGCATATTGATTCACTGCTGCAGAGATTTGTTTACCACGCCCTTGCATAGCAATGTGGCACAGGCCACAGAAAACACCACTCTTCAATTGTTGCGCATGTTTGCTTTTGTTGGAATGTGTTTACTGAGCTGTTACCTAGAAAAATGTCACGTAACAATATAAAATGAAGTACTGAAATTTCATATGATTTATGTAAAATGATGTACCCTAAGCAGGTCTGCGAGCAGAAGCCCCTGTGTTCACTGAAGCTCTTATTTGGCTTAAGAAAAGTATGATTTGTCCCTATGCTTAATTAACTAAGGCCTAAGGAGCATGTTGGAGTGTGGAGGTATAGTTCCACCATCCTTCACCTCAGCATTAGATATGGGTGAGGGACCAGCTTTTCACCCTTGCTGCTTTTCTTCTGGGGATAGAACCCCTGGTACCCATTGGATAGAAAGCTGGGTGGGTCCCAGATTCGGTGTGGGTGATGTGGAGTAAAGAAAGATCTTTCCCCTGCTGGGAATCTAATCCTAGCTGTCCAACCAACCTATCATGACTTCTCTTCTTCTATGAAACTAAACAAAATAACTAATTTGCATATTTATTATGACAATCCCACACATGTTTATAATATATGTAAAGTATATATCCCCACTGGACAACTTTCTGTTGGTGCTTCACATGGTAATCACTTTATGTATTAAATGGTTGCCATGCAATGAAACAGCAGTGGGCACAGGTCATTTACGAAAATGCATTAGAGAGCTGCTAAGCAAGAAAACAAGGTAGACATAGTTCACTTCTGAAAATTAATTGGTTTGTAAGGAAGTAGCAGCAGTGGGCAAAATTGCATCCAAAATTCCATTAATCCTGCAAAAGAATGAAATAGAGTGTCCGCATATTGCTTTTGTCCTATAACAATTGACTAGTGTTCCCTAGCGCCAGACCAGAGGTAGGAACAAAGACAACCAAATGAAAGACTTTTGTATGAAGTTATTAATATTTTAGATTTGGTAGGCAGTTATACTGGCATTGCTTTCAGTGCCGGAGTCTCCTGCATCTATCAGAGTAGCCCTCAGTTCTCCCAATTCAGCTGTGGTGGGTTGGGCCCCACCAGTGAGATCTAATGGTGTACTTACCCAGTACAATGTGTACGAACGGGAAGTTCACCATGGTGTACCTAAGGACCCAGTACGTCACATTGTGCCTCCAACAGAAACTCATTTTGAAGCTGGCCATCTACAAGAGAAGAGTATTTATGAGTGGTGGGTGACTGCAATGACACATATTGGTGAGGGTCCAAGCACCCCTGTAAAAAATATAGCTCCTAGTTCAAGAGGTAAGTAAGTATATACTTTGTGAATTATTGTAAAATTTAAGCAAAATTGACATTGATGAACTTATTTAAAAATACTAAAATATTTACAAATGTAATGTTTAAGAATTTTTTTGAAAATATTCATATCACATAGGATTCGAGGTTTCTTACAGCATTGGAGGCTTTGGAGGATGAATAGTAGGAGAATGGGCATGTGATTGCACTTGCACTGTGACAATTAGGTCCATTTGTTTATTTACCTTTTTCTTTGATAATGTTTTGTTGTAAAATACAGCTGTCAACATAAGAGCGAAGTAAATTACATTTTAATAACATTTATTAAAATCAATGGAAATATCTGTAGTTCAGTCAGTTTAATCAGTAACTGAATTACCTCCCAGCACTCCAAACAGCTGCCTCCCAGACACATCACAGCAGGAAATAACCAATGTTGTATAACCAGCAACGTTAATGAGAATTCTACTGCTTAGTATTCCACACCTATGACAAACCTCCAAGCCAGATAACAACTGTGACACAACTTAGACTCCACCACACATCCAGGATTCATTACTACCACTTACATGATACTGACAATTACATACTTGCATATTATGTTGCATCTAAAATATACAAGATTCTTCACCAACAAGTTTTAATACACCTTATATACCACCACAGAGCCTATGTGCTACTCCATTGAACTTCCAGAAGAAAACAGATCCACCAGTAATATAAAATATTAAATTATCACCGCATTACTTTTGTTACTTAATTGTACATGTACACCCTTCCTATACCACACATAACAAGAACCACATTATATTTCATCTACCCTACTTAACATTTTTAAGAATAAAGAAACCCACCATAATTTATATTCTATATTTTATCTGAAATTTTCATTGTAAAATGGATCCATTTAACTCTGCCATTCAGTATTATGTACTTTATTTATTTATTTACAAACCACTTTATTGTTGTCCATGCAACTGAAACATGTAGTGACTGAATGATAAAATTGACTAAACCATTATATTTCTATTGGTTTGAATACATATTTTAGTTTAATTTATTTTGTTGTTGTGCTGATGGTTCCCATACCTCAGATTATGGTCCATTTTGCATCCCTGTAATTTATTCCATCAGAAATCCTACACCTGGAACAAATTGCATTACAAGTATGTTTGCTGATTAGAACCTTATCATAATCATTTAAGGTTCAATAAATGAGTCCAAAGTGATAGTGCTGACTCCTGCAAAGAACATGCAATATCACATTATATTTAAAGTAATTTTGTCAGAGCTTCCAATTTGCTATGAACAGGATCGCTAGCTATCATGCCCTGTATCGGTGTCTTTTCAAATGACTTCTTGTTATACCTATTACAGATTTCTTTCATGTTCTATAGTTCTCCAGCACAAAGAAGGAAATGGAAGATGAATTTAAGATGGATCTTAGGGAAAGAGGTGTGAGGATAGGAGAGGATTGGTGCACTTTGATTTCAGTAGAACTGTACCTCCTTGTTGTAATGCCAGAGCGCTTGTTGCTTAGTTAGTTACAAATTCCACTTCTCCCTCTTAGTATTGAATTGAATTGAATTGAATTTATTTACATTCCGTAAATCCAGTACAGGTGAGACACCATAGGATATGGAACAAGTCAAGTTAGAATACATATATAAACCATATTTACTCATTGATATAATACCCCATTTGTTTCAGTTCCTGCAGCAATTTTGTCATTTTCCACCGTTGTTTCCACTCCCTGGAAGACGGATGTCAATTTTAATTGCCATTTTATTGGAAACCCTCGCCCTGAATTCTTCTGGACTTTTAATTCTAACAGAATTCAAGCTGGACATCATTCTGTTATCTTCTCTAATGGGACACTGCATCTGCAGTCTGTGTCTCCTTCAGATGCAGGGAATTATTCATGCACTGTTCGCAACATTCATCAGTCAGAAACATTAACACACGTCCTCAGAGTTCTGGGTGAGTACAGTTAGTAATTTCATTTTCCAGCTTTTGTATCTTTATCTGTATTTGTATCTTTATCTTTACTTTTGCTCCACAGATCCCCACGGGCATATCAAAGCCATCAGATATAGAACATGTCACATATGTATACATTAGTTTTAAGCACAGAACTCATCACATTACAACTACATTCGTAAAGAAAACAGTACTCACTCACTCNCACTCACTCACTCACTCACTCACTCACTCACGGAGCTGAGCCCTTCTTTAGGAGTTGCCAATTCTGCAGCTATTCAAGAATTTCCCAGCTCTTTATGGAACCTGAAGGTTCATTACCATGTTGACAAGACCCCTTCACTGGTCACTATCCTGAGCCAGATTAATCCAATACATACCTCTCATCCTATCTCTCTAAGATCCATTTTAATATTATCCACCTACCGAGGCCGTCGTCTTCCTAGTGGTCTTTTTCCTTCTTGCTTTCCCACCAGTATTCTACATGCAGTCCTCTTCTCCCCATTCATGCCACATGCCCTGCCCACCTCATCCTCCTTGACTTGATCATTCAAATTACACTTTAAGAAGAGTACAAGCTATGAAGCTCCTCATTATGCAGTTTTCTCCAACCTCATGTCACTCCATCTCTCTTCTGTCCAAATATTCTCCTCAACGCCCTATTCTCAAACACGCTCAGTCTATGTTCCTCCCTTAATGTCACAGTTCAAATTTCACACCCATACAGAACAACAGGCAAAATTATATATACATACGTACATACATACATACATACATACATACATTTCATTTCATATGTTCAAAACAAATGGACATGAAGTTCGTCATATAAAAAAAACAAATACAAAAAATTTAAACAAACACACAGATAACAGAATAATTAAAACTAATTGTTTGTGTTATGCTCCACATATTCAGAAACTGTATAAAAGGAATTATTCATAAGATATAAAGACAGCTTATTTTTAAAACTAATTCTATTCTCTTTATTCTTTTTGTATATTCTACTTTTTATGCTTTTGGACAGCAGATGAGAAGACAAAAGGTTCTGGAATGAATGGTAGCAAGCATTACCCAAGTTCAGTCTGCTCTTAATTTCCTCCTGAATCAGATTTTGATATGTTATCATCGTTCCCAAATAGCTGAACTGTGCTACATTTTCAAAACATCTGTTACCTATCTTTATTTCATGATTTCGCCCTGAATTTTGGTGCCAAGACAGCAACATATAGTTAGTTTCCTCTGTGTTTACTTGTAGACCAACCTCCTCACTAGCGTCAATCAAACTTTCATCAATTTTCTTTATGATATATATATGTTATCTCCCAGTAGATTCATATTATCAGCATAGATCAGCAGCTGATAAGTCCTGTTTAATTTCAGTCCTACCTGGTTTTCCTGGACCTTTCTAATGGCATATTCTAAAGCAAAGTCAAAAAGGAGTGGCAATAAAGCATCTCCTTATTTTAGAACATTCTGGATAGGAAATTTATCAGACAAATGTTTACCTATACAGACTTTACTATACGTTTTGTTTAAACACATTTTAATCAGCCTAACTAGTTTCATGGGTACCCTAAACTCTATCAGAATATTGTACCATACTTCCCTCCTAACTGAATCATAGGCTTTCTTGAAGTCACCAAATAGCTGATGTACTGTCTCATTGTACTCCAATTCTTTTTCCAGTATCTGATGAGAGCATAAGATCTGATCCATAATTGATCTGGTATGTCAAAACCCACATTGATGATCCCCAGTAATTTCATCTATGTATGGACTTAACCTTGAGAGAAGAATATTGGATAATCTTTCTGTATGAAGTTGACAGCAGTGATAATGAAAAGGGAAGTCTCAGATTTGAGAACTTGGGACTCAGACCCAAGAAAGACTGCACTGGCAAGGGCCAACAGCCTATACAAAAGGCACCCTTTCCTCTCGTCAGAGAGGGCGTCCCACAAAAAGAAGACTGTAAATGCCAAACACTAATAAATATCTGGTCATGAGTCCGAGATGGAGCGCGACACCAAGACTTACTGACTGACTGACCGTCAGTCTTAATGTGACTTGGACAAGCAGTGATATCCCCCGATAATTACTATAGTCAGTTTTATCTCCCTACTTGTGAACTGGTACAATAATAGTCTTAGAACGTAATATTTTACCTCCTGTTTGACTAAGTTCTTCCGACATTTGATCACTACCTGGCGGTTTATACCGTTTCAAATTTGCAATAACACTTTCAACCTCAAAAGGACTAGGACTAGGTATAAACGGCTCGGCTGTATGGATTTCTGTCTGCCTAACATCACTTACCCTATGTACATTCAATAACTGAGAGAAGTTGTTCCTCCACCTATTCAAAATGTTGTGGGAATCTGCAAGCAGATCACCATTGTCATCCTACACTAAGTTACTGCTATGCTGGTAGCCCTTCTTAAAGTCATTTATTCCTCTATACAGGTATCTAATGATGATGTTCTTACTGTTCATTGGAAGTTCATCAATTTTCTCTTTCAGATATTCCCTCTTTTTGTTCCTGAAATGCCTGCTGGTTTCACATCTTATATTGTTCAGATTATCCCCATTTAACTCGCTTTGATCCTGTAACCACTGCAATTTGGCCTACTTCCTATGGTCTAATAATTTTGAGCATCTTTCATCGAACCATGGCTTATGCTTTTTCAGTTCATAATAACCTAGACTATCTTTGGCAGAAATTTTGATATTCTTTCTAATAGTTTCCTAGGCTTTATTAACATCCACCTCCGTGTCCAAGTTTCCCAAAGCTGCGAACCTATTTGAGCTTTCAACACAATACTGCTCTTTACCCTCTACCTCATTTAATTTCTTGAGATTGAACCTCTCCATATGAACTCTGTGCATTGTTCTTTTACTCACTGCCAGCCTTTCCCTAACCATTGCCACCCCCAGGTAATGGTCAGTATCACAATCTGCTGCGCTGAATGATCGAACATCAAATATTCTTGAGTGCTGACTCCTGTCTATCAAAATATGGTCTATTTGATTTTGTATCTTCCCATCAGGAGATTTCCAAGTAAATTTATGGATGTTACAAAGTGGGAACATTGTACTTTGGCAGTAAGATTTTTTGATGTGGCAAAGTTTACTTCTATAACTGCATTGTCATTACTAATTTCATGCAAACTCTCATTCCCAATTGTTGGATTGAAAATGTCTTCCCTCCCTACTTTTGACATTGACGTCTCCTAACAAAATTTTCATATGCTACTTCGTGAATTTGTCAAATACATGTTCTAGTTCTTCATAGAACCTGTCCTTTACGTCATCAGTTTTATCTTCTGTTGGGGCATGAACATTCATAATGATATCACACCAGCGACCTTTTAGTATTATATATGATATCCTATCACTAATGAACTCTACCCTCTTAACTGCTGATATGATTCTCTTATGTATGAAGAAACCTGTACCTAATTCATGATTTTCATTCCCCTTTCCATAGAAAAATGTATATTCGCCTGCTGGTTCAATGCCACCTCCATCCCATCTGACCTCCTGTACTCCCACTAATTCTAACCTATATTTTTAGATTTCTTCTGCCACTGCCCTGAGTGAACCTACCCAGTACATGTTTCTAGCATTCCAAGTACCAAATCTCATGTCCATTTTCTTTAGCCTAGGTCTTTTATCCAGAGGATCTTTCCAGGTCTGAGGCTTTGTGTACATTTTTGTAACAAGCTTACTTTTTATGATAAGAAATTGTTAGCCTCACGCCCAACCCCCAAGCTGGAGAACCACCCTTGTGAGCTGTCCGCAACTGTTTATTCAATATATTCGCAGCTTCCCTCTTTACCTGGAGGGCATCTCCTCCATCTGAAACTTGAGAACGCGCCATACCGTGGTGACAAGGACACACCTAACATTGAAAAGAACAATAATTATACAAAATTCAGTAATTTAACCAGCATTCAGGACTCATCAACTTGACAGTAATACCTTATTAAATTTGTAGATTAAACTATATATAAAATTATCAGATTATAATTAATTAATTTATACAGTATACTATATAAAGAGCATTATAAAAGGTTTAATTATTCTTATATTTAAAATATTCGAAAATTTTTTCAAGGCCGATTTAAATTGTTTTGTATTATGGGACATATCCATTATTGGAACATGTAAACTGTTAAACACCTTACTCCCAGTATAATATATTCCCTTCTGATATACTGATATAATGGTGCAAATCAGATTTAGTCCTAGTATTAATATTATGTATCTCAGAATTTACTTTGGAATGATGTTTATTATTGATCACAAACAGCGAAAGTGAATATACATACTGAGATTGTAGTGGTAATATTTTTAATTTTCTGAAATATTCTCTAGATGTATTTATATCTCTGATCCCAATTCTAATGCAAATAATTCTTTTTGTAGTCTAAAAATTATATTACTATAACAAGAATTTACCCAGAAGTCCATAAGTCATGATAGAGTGAAAATAAGAATAATATACCATCTTTAATGATTCCTGGGTCAAGAATAGCTTAATTGTTCTAATCACGAAAGAAGCTGAACTTAGTTTGGGCGCAACTGTATCTATATGAGTCTTCCAAGAATGCCTTGTCCAATGTTAGGCCAAGCAATTTTGTATTAAAATCTTAACTATTTTCTTGTTCCCATGCATTACATTTAAATTGATTAAAAAACTAATTTTAGTTATAAATTGCATAAATTATGTCTTATCAACATTTAGTGACCAATAAATAAGTAATGAACCATCTATTTATAGCTTGAAAAACTTTGTTAATACTTTTTTAAGAATTTATAGGCTTAAGGCTAGTAATGATTACACTAATGTCATCCGCATATAGAACGATTTAAGCGTTATCAATCATTGCACTGTGATAAAGCATAAACAGTGATATTTAGTAGTACAAACTGTCAGAATGTCGAATTTAACCTATTCCATAGACATTAAGCTGTTTGAACTTAAGTGTGTTCTTGTAGCCTGTCTCTCTCAGATCCAGTATTTTGAGTTTTGTGATGCTTCTGAATAAAGATATATAATAGAAGTACATATGAAGAAAGTTACAAGATGAAGATCTTCACGATTTTTACTCTTCATCAACATTATTAGATTGATCAAATCATGGAGGATAGGATTGGTGAAACATGTAGCATACACAGAGTGGATGGATGAATAGGTGGATGTGAGCAATTGATACAGAATTTCAGGAGGGAAGTGTGAGGTGAATAAACAACTAGGAAGGCTTAGGCATAGGTTGGACTATAATATTTATGTGGTTCTTTAGGTTGTGAGGGTGTGGGCTGGATTCATCTGGATAGGACAGAATCCAGTGGTGATCTTTTGAGACCATGATAAACTACAAGTATATTTGGGCTCCACAACTTCTTGGCTAGCTGAGTGACTATTAGATTTTCAAGATTATCTCTGCTCTATCAAGTTAGCTCTTAAATTAGAGTTGTATATATATATATATATATATGGACAGAAACGTTCGTTGGTGCTCAGCGTACAAAGTTTTCAAGGAATCTGAAGTCTTTGTGACAGATATACTTGTCAGTAAGTGCATTGCTTAACACCAGATGCATAAGCAGGTAAATCCAAGATCTTTAATCCTAGTGTATGTGACTATAAGGACTACAGAAAGTTACTAAAAGCAATCTAGTCATGGTACAAGTATGATATTTGTCCTGGATTTAATAAATCTACATCAAACTGCAACAACACCAACAGCATGTATTTCATATGTTGCTCAGTCTGTAAAGTGAATGGCTATGAGCTGGATGACTGGGTTTAGTTCATGGTAGAAATATGAAATTTTCTCTTAACCACCATTCTGGCCAAACTGGCTCTGGAGCTCGCTCAGCCCCCTATCCAATGGGCTCTAGAGACTGTTGGTTGAACCATGAAAATGATAGCTTGATTCCATCTAGTGCTAGGGTTGAACACTATGAGGTTTATTTTCACTCCCTCATTAAGCATAAATGGTGTGGTGCTTAAACAGAATTCAATTTTACTGTCTATGTCTCTTACAGTTCCTCCAACTCCACCAAATATAGATATGCTTACAGCTGGCTGGACCAATGTCACACTCCAGTGGATCAATTCCGGAGCTTCAGAATTGCTGGACTTGCTTGGCTACATCTTGCGCTACAGAGAGGTTGGATCAGATCAAGATCAGTGGATTGAGACTCGACTGCCCAGACATTCTCTTTCTTACGCAGTGGTTGGACTGGACTGTGGAACACTGTATGAGTTCTCTTTAGCAGCCTACAACAAAGTGGGCGAGGGGGAGGCAGGGCCTGTGAAGGAGGTTCGGACCTTAGGAGAGGAACCAAGAGCTCCTCCTGGTCCAGATGTTGTTTCAAGCTCTCCTCATGCTCTTACTATACATTTCGAACGTTGGCATGATGGTGGATGCCCCATTTCACATTTTGTTTTGGAACGTCGTACAATGGAGCAAAACTGGAGCATAGGTACTGTGGTGGTCATAAGTATGAGAAAATACAAGGCACAAGGAGTGTAAAATATGCAATATGGTTATGTGATCTACTGACACATAGGCAATATTGGAAAGTACAACTTTCACACCTAATGGTCTGAATAGTGGTTATACTGGAATATTTGGTCTGTGTATTATTTTTAAGGAAAGATGTAGACATAATGGCTTAATGTCTTCTCTGTTTGCATCCCCCCTTGCAACTTTTAAACCATTTAACCAAATTTTGCAAAATTTTGCGTGGATATAATGCCCTGGATTGTCACTCCAAAGTCATCCTTTTCAGTTTCCTATAATCAGTAGAAACAAAATGGTAGATGCACAAACCTGTGAAGTGGAAGGAACACTGTTGCACTCAGTATAGTGCTCTGATATGATAGATAGTGCTTGATCTTCAAAAAGTACACAATTTCATTAATATAATTTTTTGTGGAATGTAAAATAACACCATGGGCCGCACCATAGCTCAAGTGGTTAGTCACTGGCTTCCCATCACTGCGGCCCGGGTTCGATCCTGGGTCTGATCAAGTGAGATTTGTGGTGGACAAAGTGGCACTGGGGCAGGTTTTCTCTGAGTACTTCAGTTTCCCCTGCCAATCTTCATTCCACCAATTGCTCCACAGTCACCCTCACCTGTCATCTGGGACTGGTACAGTAGGCCAGAAGTGGCCATAGTACAAGGGACTTAGTCCCACCCCACTACCAATAAAAAAAACAACACCATGGCAGCCATGTGAAATTTTCATTTGTTTGAGAGTAATAACTAATGGTTTTTTCAATATAGGAACATTTTGTGTGACTGTATATTTTGAAAATTCCTACAAATATTGTATGAAATATTGCTTTTAAGTCAACAAATAAAAACAAAGTAACGGTGCATAACTCTGATGTCACGTCTCGCAAATTTAACATTGGTGGAATCTGTACATACTTAATAAGTTATTCTCAGGGAAAAGAGAAAGAAAAGAAAACATTTCAACTTATTTACAGTTGAAAAGAATATGGGAATTCTGATTTCAGCAGAATGCCCTACAGCCATTTACACATTAGGTGACCATTCCAGTATGAGAAAAATGGGATTACTTTGTTGCAGTTTATATTTATATTTTCTAAGTATAACATAGATGGAAGAGATCTGTGATGTCTGTTGAACAAAGTTGACTCTATAAATTCTGCCTGGAACTCCTCCTCTTATCAGTTGATATAACTGATATCAGTTACCTGAATTCATTAACATCTAAGACAGTTTCAAATTACTCATGAAGAATGCAGTATGAGATATTTTGTTCTTCTTATCATTCACAAATGTCCACTTTGTTAGAAAAGGAAACTCTTTAACATTAGACTTCAGAGAGGAAAATCCTTTTTACCGGAGATGTGTTTCTAATCAGCTAAATGTGAATTTACTCTCCTGTTATAATATTATTACACTTAATTTTAAATCCCAACAACAGCTTTACTACTGAATATATGTGTCTAAAATATTTCTTTAGCCATGTAAGGAATGTACTTAAAATCGAATTATCCAGTTCCAAAGGGTAATTTTTCCTTCTGGTACACTTCTGAGGGTTGTGAAAATCCTGAAAAATTCGTTGCTTTCTCCATGCAGCTGTTCTTACTTCATTATGCCATAAAGCCTCAAAATGAGATATAGATGTCTCATGGCACTTCAGAGATGCCTCAGCTTGTCTTGTAAACACTTCATAAAATCTACAAACCCCTAACCCTCACCATTTCATAAACATACTCATTAAAAAAATTAAAATAACTGTAATCACTGTATGCCAGGATAACGTAGTTGGTATAGCAACTAACTACAGACTGGAAAAACCAAGGAGCTGGAGTTTGAGTCCTGGTAGAGTCAAGAATCTTCTCTTCTCTGTGTTGTCCAGACCGACTCTGGGGTGCACCCAACCTCCTATCCAATGGGTACCTGGGGCAATTTCCCTGGTGATAAAGTGGCCGGGACATGAAGCTGACCACTAACCTCCAGCTAGTGCTGAGGTAAATTAAATGTGGATCTATACATCCAGTTCAGATATTTATTTATAACTCAGATGCCTTCTTCTGAAGGGTTACTTTGCTTCCTGACATTCCACTGAGGTGTGAAAAAATCTTGCAATATTTACAGTTTTCCTCCAAGCAACCATCCTAACTTTATTGTCCCATGTAGCATCAAAATTGAACAGAGGTACCTGTATCATCATCATCATCATCAGCAGCAGCAGCAGCAGCAGCAGCAGCAGTAATCTATCAGACGACAGGTCCACAGTCTCTTCCAAAACAATTCCTCCACTTAATGCAATCCAGAGCTTTCTTCTTCAAATGAGAATATCCTCTTCTGTCCCCAAGGTCATCCAGCATCTTCTTACGTCTTCTTTCTCGTCTTCTGGTCACTTCTATCCACCTCTCTATCTTTCCTTCAATAACTTCTTTTAGAAGGCAGTTTCTGCATGAAACATGGCCAATCCAATTAGCCTTCCATTTTCTTATTTCGTGTATGATATTCCTCTGCTCACTGACTCTAATTAACACTTCTTCATTTCTCACATAATCGGTCCAACTGATCTTCTCCATCCTTCTCCAACACCACATTTCGAAGCTTTCCAGTTGTTTCTGATCTACTGCCCTAAGTGTCCATGTTTCAGCCCCATACAAAGCAATGCTCCAAATGTAGCATTTCACTAGTTTCTTCCTCAAATTTAAGTCCAATTTGCTGGTAAAGAGATTCTTCTTCTTGCTAAATGCAGCTTTTGCCATGGCAATCCTGGATTTAATTTCACACGTACACCTTCCATCATCTGTTAATAAGCTACCCAAATATTTAAAACATTTCACATTCTCCAGTTTCTCCACATTCATTTCCATTATTTTTTATTTTTAAATTCACTGCAATTCTATGAAATGTAACACAGACTGGAACATTGATAAGAGTATTGCGTGACACTGCAAGGAATATGAAAATAACACTTCCTATGTCGCATGTGACACAAATAATAAATTTCTGGGTGGAAAATGGACAGAAGGACATGAAACTAGAATATAAAAACTCACATATAAGTTTATAATATTGAAACATAAAGGACTAAAAAATTTTCTGCAACCATTTTTGCCACTTCCTCATTCCTGTTGTTTGTGACAAAACAAAATGAATAATATTATACAGAATTTTATGTAGTTTTCTCAGAACGGGGAATTTGGAAATAGTTCCTTTTTATGATGAACTTTTTGACAAGTGTGGTTCACAAGCATCACAGTTTTTATACTATAAGTCCCTGATTCTAGGAACACCTAAATAAACACAGTTTTTACCAACAAAATTTTTTGCAGTAGAATTTGCCAAACAAGGTAATCTGCTTTCTGAAAACCACAAGTATTACTAGACATAGCAAACAGGTGGTATGAAACATTAGAGTTCTGTTATCATAAAGAGTCCTACTATAAAAATTGTGGCACACATTTCTCAAAATCAGCAAACAAAATTAATAAAATATGTGAATACAATCAAAGTAATTATGCAGGAGTATGGATAAAACTGCATACCTATAAGTGGTTGTTCCAAAATTTTGACCACAGGTGAATTGTTCTGTTCTTAAGTCTCTACTTTTTATTTGAAGATATCTCAAGAAATGCATTAAATACAGATATAGGATAGCCCATTGCAGAATCAAGCTTTTACATTTAAAAACTCCACGCCCGTGAAGAAGTGCAATGAAAGTTAAATGCTGTATGCTGAAGGTTAATTCATGTTTCAGTAGTTTGTAAGTTTTAATTTCAAATGCTTCATTTTGTAAGATATTCAAATATAGGCATTTCAGAATAACATAAGTTTAGCAGCATGCCTGTGAAGCTAAGGAAAATTGTTCTGAGTATATTTCATTTTTATTATAATTCCAGAAGTCATACAACAAGAAATTTTGATTTAATTTCTATGCTGCTCTGTAATTCTGTGTAATCTATATGGAATCTGTTGCATGTTGTCCCTATATCTATTTCAAATGGCGATACTAATACTTGAAAAAAGACTTCATTAAACTATGGTCTTTGGGATGTGATGCAGTTTAATTTGGTAAATGAGTAACCAAACTCCTTGTTGTCATATCTCAGATCATAATCCTAATCTGCAGTGCTATGAGAACCTCAAATCTTAGAAGAGTTCTTGTTATGAATGAAAAAAATATGTACATTTTACAACCAGGATTTGCGTTAGAAGTCTAAATGTAGAGTGAACCCCTGCATTGAATATTGGATATGACCTTGATAGTGGTAGATCATATTACTCCTAATACCTCCCCCCCCCCTGTTTTCTTTAAAATAAACCATGCCAAATGGTTGGTTTATGAGTTAAACAGTTGCAAAGTAACAGAACACCATTGAACATGGAACACTTTGGAACTCTAAAACAAACTGAGATTATAATAGCACTTTTAGGAAATTTCGTTTTGGCATGATAATTTGTTCTGTTGGCAGTAACAGATTCTGCTCCTCCACTGGCCAGCTATACAATCTCAGGTCTTGACCCAGGAACATTTTACAGGCTTCGTGTAACTGCACACAACAAACGTGGAGCTACTACAACTCAGCTCCAAGCTTCCACACTCACCCAGGAAGGTGGTGAGTAGCAAGACATTAATATTTTATTTTGAATTGTCTCATTCTGGTCTGCTGCACTATTAAGTTAGAAAGTTAACAGAATTTTCCGTCCAGTGTGGCAATAGAGGTCACATCACTTTTATTATTTTTGCCCTATATCTTTCGATTTAATTAAACTCATCATCAGAGGCACTTTTCATATGGCAGGAGACACTGTTAATTAAGCTTGTTTGATGTTCACTTTCAGTTGTGTTATTCACAAATGCATGTTTCGTCATGCATGTCACAGGTTTTAGTTACGACGGCACTTGTCGTATAAAAACATAAACATGTAGAATAATTGAGTATGCCAATAGGCTATATGCAGCACAGGAATTATCACTTTTCCCACAGTAGATTCCTTATGTTTGGATTAAATCACTATTAAACTATTTAAAATTTAATTCAAATTGTCGTAAGTCATTGTTGGTTGTCAATTCTTCCCGTGGATAGGAGTCGTCATTCTTGGTGGTGTGTGGGCTTATATGTGTTATGATGTTACGTGTGTGCTGTGTCCTTTGTACAAAGGATATCATAATGCATATAAGCCCACACACCACCAAGAATGACAACTCCCATCCACGGGAAAAATTGACAATCAACAACGACTTACGACAATTTGAATTAAATTTTAAATGGTTTAATAGTGATTTAATCCAAACATAAGGAATCTACTGTGGGAAAAGTGATAATTCCTGTGCTGCATATAGCCTATTGGCATACTCAATTATTCTACATGTTTATGTTTTTATATGACAAGTGCCATCGTAACTAAAACCTGTGATAATAATACGAAACATGCATTTGTGAATAACACAACTGAAAGTGAACATCAAACCAGCTTAATTAACAGTGTCTCCTGCCATATGAAAAGTGCCTCTGATGATGATTTTAATTAAATCGAAACATATAGGGCAAAAATAATAAAGTGATGTGACCTCTATTGCCACACTGGATGGAAAATTCTATTAACTTTCTAAATTAATATTTTAATTAACTTCATGTGATTTTACATTTCCTCAATTATAAACCTTTATTAACATGTGGACGTTACAGAGAGAAAATGACAATGGAATGGAGAAAACTGCACAATGGGGAGCTTCATTGTTTGCATTCTTTACAAAATAACATTAAGGTGATCAACTCAAGGTGGAAAATATAGATAAGATATGTTGGAGATGAGAAATATGTGTAAACTTTGCTTCGAAAGCCTGAAGACAGAGAACACTTGACAAACAGTATAGATGGAAGGATAACATTAAAAAGGATTTAAAAGGAACAGGGTGGAATGATTTTTTTCATTTACTTATTGCATTCAAAGATCGTTCATTGGTACAAGACCACAAAATATAGAACCTGTCACAGAAAATACTATGTGTATCATAAGCAATAGCAAAACGACTTAAATTTCATAATATATATATTATATATATA